GCAAAGCAGAATTGTTGCCCATTACTATGGTTTTTCCTACTTTCCTCACCCCAAAAGATCAATGTGCATTAATATAAGCTATGTTTCCAGATAGGCGCTATTTGCCAACTTACTATTGTGTTCACTTCTACACTGTATCTACAGACCAGTGATTGTAAGCCAGCTTTTGTGACATGCTGTTGTATCAGAAAGCTTATGAAATTCTCAAAGCTTTCATGTTCAAAGGAAATATGTGCAGTGCCATGCTTTTTAAAAGTGGAAGTTGTTGTAAAACTGAACAATGGCAGACTCATAAGTCGCCAACAAGTTGGCAAGTGACCTGTGACCAAAGAATATATTGCATTTGAATATTGCTGCCAAGAAGGAGAAAGGAAGGGAAATAACATTTATGGAGCGCCTTTGTCCTGGGCACCAGCTACATGCTTCCACGCAGAAGCAGAGGTGGAGCTGAAAGCAACAAATCATTTCTAAATTATTTACAACTCTCGTGGTATGAAAATGAAACCTGTGGGTCATTATTAAAGAGTGGCTTTTCTTCAAACACTGCAGGCATTCCGGCTCCTGGTCTATGTGCTGAAGGCTCATGTGTAGGAGAAGGAAATCCTGAATCCAAGCCCAGGGGCTGCAGTGAGTAGGGTTGGAGCAAGGTGCTTTTTGTGCCAAATAGTTTTTTATTAGATATGTTTCATACGAAAATGAAGCTCACATTCAGAACACTGTATTCCCTGAAAGTTAAGTTTAATTTAATTAAGTATTCATTTCTCCACTATTTTTGTTTGTGCATGTGTGTGTATGAAACTGTGCATGTATTTGTGTGTGTGTGTGTGTGTGTGTGTGTGTATGTTCACTGTGGCTTCTGAATCACTTTTTCTTTGTTTGTTGCAAGGTACTTTTAGGAAGTGCCATAAGTCAGGCATGGTAATGCTAAAGCAGGAGGATTAGGACTTCAAGGCCAGCCTGGGCTACCTGTCAAGGCCCTGTCTCAAAACAAGTGAACGAACAAACACAACATACACACACACACACAAAAAAAACTGAGAATATAGCCAGGTATGGTGGTGCACACCTTTAATCTTAGTACTCAGGAGGCAGAGGCAGGTGGATCTCTGTGAGATTGAGGCCAACTTGCTCTACATAGTGAGCCAGGCCAGCTGGCTACAGG